CCAGAACTGGTCCGCTTCCACAGACGTTGAAGTGGATCTCTTGTTCTGGATGCCAACACAGATGTTTTGTTGAAGTTGGCTTCATCTTCTTGACCTTCTAAAGGCCAAATGAGAGGGCGACGACTAGGATACTCCGAGCATCTCGTCCAACACCTGAACACCCCCCAGTCGCGAGCCTAGCAGCTCCTCTTCGCCAGCTCAGGACAGGTTCATTTTGTGGGGTTTAGGGCTTAGAGGCTGTCAGGGTTTTGGGGCGGCATTTTAGGGTTCCCCGGAGTGCTACGCTGTGCACGAGAACTAGAATACTTCCCGAAAGAAGGTAGGCCCACAAAAGGTGATGAAAAGTGGAGGCTGCAGCTGGTTCAATATCACTAGGCCTCCCGAGCACAACCCCAGAGCCCTAGTCTCGCCGTGATTTTGAACGATGAGAACAAACCTCAGGCCTTTGATGGGCTGCGGTATGAGCGGTGGTGGCTGTGGAGGGGGCTGCGGTGGCGGGGACAAGTGTCCGGCGCTCAACGGCAGGCATGCTAAACTTCAACATGTTGCATCACCAACAGTCGGGGAGAAGCCGAGGGTGGAAGAAGAAGCTCCAGAAGAAGGCAGGTGGCCAGATTACACACTTGCATTACACACCATATCATACCATATTTTGGCATACATTCCATTCCACTACGTTGCGTTAGATTATATATCTATATCTATATCTATGTCTATATCTATATCCATATCTATATCTATATCTATATATGTCTCTGTTTCTGTGTGTTGTATGTCCATATCTATGTCCATGTCTGGATCTGTATCCGAACCTATACCTATATCTATGTCTAGGTTTATGTGTCTGTCTACGTGTATGTCTATGCCTATGTCTGCATGTCATAAGTCAGCCGGCTTGGAGAGAGGGCCGGTGTTCCTGCATACCTTAACAAATCGCGAAGACCACAGGCGACAAGGGGAGGGGGGTTACAACGAAGCCAAGAGGCCAGCAGCCCAAGCAAGACCGCAGAAACCACACCACAAGAGGGGGGGGGGCGGCGGGATGGGATACCATGGGGTGGGGGCGGGAGGGCGATTAGTCGCCCGATACTACAACCAGAAACCCTATACTGCAACTGGGACTGGAGGTGCGCAAAACCCGAAACCGCCATATCACAACCAGCCAACAAGCTTACTTCTTGCATTGTTTCCGATCTGATGGTCACCCTTTAAGGAAGCACATTCATTTTTAGAAACAGTTCAGCTGCAGTAGGTACCTTTCTTCGCCCGGAGGCTACGATCTACGAAATCTTCATAACGAACAACTAAGACCGGACCTCATACTAAAAGGCCTCTATGTTATTGAAGGTTTGACTTCAAGCAGTAGACCTAACACTGCACTACCCCGAAAGCTTTGTAAAACCCGAAAGTTTGCTAGGTGGTGTTGCTGGTGTTTGGTGGTGGTGCTGGTGTTGGTGGGTTTGGTGTTGTTAACCGATGGAAGAAGAGCAGAAGCAATTCACACTCGACGGGGACCAGCTCAGAGTCTGTCTGCAGGGATGGATCGGAGCCCTATAACGAAGCCACGAACGGCCAGACCCTACAAACCTGACTTATACAGCCCCTGCAGCTACAGCCACATCATCGGTGGGAAGGATGGGGGTCTCAGGTAAGCTGCATGGAGAAGGAATCACTGGCTCTTGTGATTGTCTAACCTGACTTCAACTCACCGGCATTGGTTTCGCTACCACGTTGCGGGGATTATGGCTGTCGTTTTGCGACCTCTCCGACAGCTCAGAATGCGAGGGATTTCCGACATGAAGCTGCTTGTCTAAAAGCTTCCGGACCGGGTTATGCTTAGGCGTAGCAGCGCGCTTTCGTACACTTCTGCACGGGCGCAGTCACGAATCAGTGCTTGCGCTTTTGCTGGTGCGCGCTTCGCGTTTCTGCTTGGCTCCTGCAGGCCAAAGCAGGCTTCGATCAGGCGGGTTCCGTGAAGGCTCGCCGACTCTGGAGCATCGCTTAGGCTGTGCCGATCGCTGCAGGACGAGTGGCTGCAACAGACAGCTGACCAGATCAAGAACTTTACAGTGGAGCAGGCGAATGGCAATGTCTCTTGCTTGAGTTTCGAGTCCGTGCTGCTTGCAGGTATGTGACTGGGCGAAAGCCGCGCTGAAAGCGAAAGGTCTCGATGAAGGGCTGGCAGCGGAAGCGGCCCAGCGGTTGGAATATGAGGCAGTGACAGGTGAAGTGCTCATCGGTGTTACGGCTCAAGAGCTGAAACTGGACTACGGGATGAAGCGTGGCCCTGCGACATTGCTGGTGCCGTCTCTCGCAACGTACATGCAAATCATGGGTCTACAATAGTTTGCCCAGGTGGCGAAAAGCCTGTTGGGATAGTTCACGGGTGGCATGTGTTCTTCGTCAGGCCTGCGAGGCTGTGTAATTTTTTTTTCGAAGACTGTTCCCCTGCCATAATCGCACTTGCACCAAGATCTTGAGCCACGCTGAACCTGAACTCTTCCACTCCCAAGGATGTTGAAGGTCGTCAAGGTTCAGAGAGCTTGAGGGTGTCGGGAAGCCCGGCGATGGCGGTGGAGGTGGTGGTGGTGGTGAGTGGTAGTAGTGGTGGTGGTGGTGGTGGTGGTGATAGCCGTAGTAGAAGAAGAAGTAGTAGTAGCAGCAGCAGTAGCAGCAGCAGTAGCAGCAGCAGTAGCAGTAGCAGTAGCAGTAGCAGTAGCAGTAGCAGTAGCAGTAGCAGGAGCAGGAGCAGTAGCAGTAGCAGTAGCAGCAGCAGTAGCAGTAGCAGTAGCAGTAGCAGTAGCAGTAGCAGTAGCAGTAGCAGTAGCAGTAGCAGTAGCAGTAGCAGTAGCAGTCGCAGTCGCAGTAGCAGTAGGTAGCAGCAGCAGTAGCAGTAGCAGTAGCAGTAGCAGTAGCAGTAGCAGTAGCAGTACCAAGATCACAGAACGCTGCTTGCGCTGTCTCGTCAGCCTTGATTGCATGCGTGCGTCTGCGTGCCTGCACCCACTGCCGAACAGCGCGAGCTCCATCTCAAGGCTGCCGTAACAGCTGCGATGGCAGTCATGGGGCCGTGCCGAAAGGCGTCCTCCGGCTTTTACGACTTTTGATCGTGGGACTTCGCTGTGTAACAACATGCGGTTCCGGCGACGTGATCACAGAGCCTGACGAGAAGCTTACACGCCGAGATCCGCATCAGCTGCAAGCAACGTCTGCGAATGCACGGTTGTTGCAGCCAAGTATAGTCGTGATATGATAGACCTTGCGAACAACAGTGTTCTTGGCTGTCTATCATATTGCAGGCGTATTGCGACATGATCAAGTACTCTGATGAAAAGCCCCAGTCATCGAGCTTTGCATAACCACCCGTGGACCCTAGGACTTCCGAGAGTGACGAAACGCCCAACCCGGATCCAGTGTTGCAACAAGTTGTGGTGTGGCCAGGGCCTGGAGCTGCTGTGCCAACCGGTGGCGGAGGCAATTTGCCCAAACCCTGAACCTTCAACACAGGATCCTATCAGGGCTATTATGGGGTCCCTAAATCTCAATTTTGGCTAGGTTTGTCGAGACCTGCAGCCTGTATCTTGAAGTCGTTGGTGGTTCAAGGACGCTCAAAAACATAGTGCTTTTAAAGCCTGAAATGGTCCGCTTTGCAATGGCAAACCGGCTTCGCCGGGAATGCCCCAAGTGCGGCCCCTTGTACGGCCCTTACGCTCTACCTCGTTCCCACATGTTCCCACGCACGAAGTCCCCCGATCTTCCCGAAGGTTGAGGGGTTTGGGGAAGTTCCGGATTTGTGTTTATGTTCAATCCTTGAATGGCCATTGCAACCATGTCAAATCCCCTGGGCTCTGGCCCAGACTCTCGATCGTCCATGTCGGCCATGTCCAAATTGGTTGAAACGATTGAAATGCACCCCCCCCCCCCCCGCGGGAGTTTCCATTTCAACCGCTTGAACTGGTTGAAGTAGAAATTCCCTCCGCCATTGGGTTTCTATTCCCCACAGGATACTCACATAGACCCCTGACATTCTACGTACTTAGGGCTTGTACGGCTAATAGGGCATATCGGGTTTAGGGTTTATAGGGTTTACTTAGGGCCCGCAGTTGGGGACCCATTATGGCTTGTTCTCAGGCCCAGGCTCGTCCACAGAACAGCGGTGGCAGCCTCAGCCGCCATCGTCAGCAGTGTGGCGCTACCATCTCTGTTGTGTTTGGGGATGCTGTGAGGCTTTGGCTGGTGCAGCGCGAACTGGCCCAGCGATCGCAGCAGGTTGGATGGGATGGGATAGAGCTGGAGTTATTTGCCTCCGCGACGTCGGCAAGACACTCGCAAGGTTCAGGAGCTGTGCCAAGCACTCTTCAAAGCACGCGATAGACGCAGGCATGAGCCTTTCCAAAACTAAAGAAGGGGCCAGCCGAGAAGATAATCCGAGCTGCCGAGTCTACGCCCATGCGCCCCGCAGCATCTGAGCCAATGTCGGAACTCAGCCATAGAACGCGCAATGAGGGCCCAAAGGGCCGACCTATTCACCAAGGCAGGGTCATTAACGCTCGGACAAGCTTCACTGGACCTAGTCTCTGAGTCTTGACAGCGGCCCGCGACTCATGTAGATCGATATCTTGCCAAGGCCGGAGCTCACTTTGCCAAGCATAGCTCTGGCAAAATTTTGCGCAGCTTTGCAAGTTGGCGGACGAACAACTAAGCCTCAAAGCACAACGTGAGATTCTCGGGAGTGCGCCAGCCGCAAATTCCCGACCCTGAACGCCCACCAACCCAAAACCCTAAACCTGGCCGTTGTGAATCCCTGAACTGTACAAGAACTTATGCAAAGAAGTGGTGCGTGGCGTGTCGGAAAAAGAGGGACGGATTTTCGGTTTTGAGGTTAGGGAGGTCGTCCTGAACAATTCGCGCAACAAAATCAGGGGACTGGCTCTAAGAGCGCGTCGAGTAGGTGGGCAGCTTTCCAGATCGGTGCCAACAAGAGACATGCCACACTGCAGATGATCGTGCGCATCGCCCTTTCATTGCTGCAGGAAACGTTGCCAGCGCAAGGTTGGGTCCGCTTGGGATATTTTGTGATGTGCTGCGGTGCTGCTTTGCATGGCCTGTTTAACCAAGAGTATTCGAGCCCGTATTCCGACGAGGAAGCATCAGCGCAGCAGCAGCAGCAGTTCCGACTGGAGGCGTCCACTCATGATATCTGCTTGAAGTGGTGGCGGAGTTTGCGGTGGTCCAGCGTTGATGTTTGACAGGCGGCCCGGTCGACGACTGATGCGCACAATCGGGTCCTGGAAATCAAGGCGGCCCGAACGAATGTGGCTTAGGAAGCGACTTTCGTGCATCGCAATGCATCGCACAGCAAGTGAATGCGGTTGTGCTATGTTTTGAGCTTTGTTGCATGTGAGCAGAATGGGCAAGCAAAGTTGAGAACGTGGCACCTTGATAAAAATCAGGGCACAACGAGCGGGCAACCACTTGCAGCTCTTAAACTCGGGCCTTGGGAACTGAAGTTCCGGTTTTTGGCTGCTTGGCAGGCCACCCCCACCTTGCGGAACCTTGGTGTTGGATTCTTCGTTTTCCAGCCACACTGCGAACAGGTCTTGTGCCTTGCATTATGTCAGGTAGGTGAAGTGGTGGGAGCTTGTTCAGTCCTAAGTCATCGGAAGACGATGTTAGCTGCCAGAGGGCGAAGGGGATTTTGATCCTGAGTTGTGTTTCATCTTTCTGTGCTGGATAGCGTAGGTAGTTTGCAGTCGATGGAGGTCGTCTGTGGTCCAACTGCAATCTGTTCAAGAGGATTTGTGGAGTGTGCAGGAGCGATGACAGGGGCACCCACTTGAACGATTTCATCAGTTTAATGAAGAGATCTGGAAGCTGGATTTCCTTCGCACCCATACCTCAATTGCTAACAGCCCGTAATCCACCCAGTCCCTTTGTTTACTAGCTTGGCAATCAGCGTGTACGATCGTAAGAAACTGTGGAAAAGTGAATGGTGCACGTGAAGTCGTAAATCGAAAACAGTACACAATGGTCAGCGTTCCGGGTGGGGGTCAGGCAAGGGTTCAGGTCAGGTAATCTCAAGAGCAAGAGCAGGGGTCATCATCCTGGTCATGGTCATGGAGATGGTCATGTTGAGGGTGATGGTGATGGTGATGGTTGCAATGAAACATCGCATCTGACTGGAATGATCGAAGTACTTAGACTCTTAGACTTTTATGGCATCGTGTGTGGAATGAGAGTTTCTTGACACAGGATGTCCTGGTGGCTGCCCCGCTTGGGAGGCTTTGCTGACACCGAGAAAAGTGCGTCACGATTGCCGGCAGTTCACTCAGATTTCAGCCCTGATACAAACGCTAGGCAGCCGGACATACACCAAGCCGCCAAGCTGACAGTGTCGGACGATGGACGATGCTGGATTCACCGTTGCTGTTGACACGGCTCTGAGTAAGTTGCGGCCTTTGCCCCAAGAGCAGGCTTCCGGGAGTTTTGGGTTTTGAGTCGATGCCGGGTTTGCGCGAGACCTTACCTAGAGGCCAAGATTTGCTTGGTTTGGGAGGCGATGAGTGCACATGACATCACATGTGTCATTGTTGCACCACGTACATGATGAGCTTCTCCGTAAATGCAGACGCGATGACGACTATCGCGCCCCGATCCGAAGGTCAGAAGGCCGCATCGAACCCAATCCCAATATGCAGGCCATGGCTGCCCGACGCCGCCCGGAACTCGGTGTTTTTTCTGATTTGGATGTCTTATTGCGGCAGGGCCGTGAAGGCACAGACTTCGGTTTTGAAGGTCTGCGAGTTCAAGGCATTTCGTTGAGTTCTGCATGGAAGTTGTCGGATGAAAAGGCAGGATGTGACGGATACGCTGCAGCATGAAGAACATACAGCTTGACACAGACATTAGCACTGTGCAGGTTAACACAGTTTTGTTAATAGCCATCGCAGATAAACATGCGACAACAATTCAGTGCGCGCCGCAGGTGAGATAAGTTGAGGCTATGGCACTTGTTTGTACACATTGACATAGGTAGGCAGGCACGCAGGCAGGCAGCCAGGGCTGTAGGTAGGTAGGTGGGTAGGTGTGTGTCAGTCAGTCTTTTTGGGGAGAAGCTGTCTCGGCTCGGGGTGCAGGGTTGATGACCTGAGCACTAAATCCTCAAGTTGAGGAGTTGCCGTTCAGGGTCTGTGCATGCATGCATGTGGGCAGGACGGTAGGCGGATATGTAGGTATGCCATAGGCAGGAGAGCATCGGCTTTGCTGAGGTGTCAGCGGTGCCGTCGGGGCCCAGGTAGAAAAGGAACAGTGGAAGTGCTGACATGCAGGCTTCACCCGATAGGTGTTCATGACTGTCATTTCCAGTGTCATTGCTTTTATGATTTCTATTGCCAGCCTTGTGTGTCATTGCTGTCAGCATCATAGATCTGTACGCGTGTTCATGTTCGGATTTGACACAAGCTGCCACTTTGAGCCTGAGGCCCTCCTGGCGCTGGTGCCCTCGCCTCGGCTGAGTCTTGCTAACGTTTTGGGTTGAGCTTTCCCTGTGTTTTCATGCCTGCAAAGCTTCAAGCAAACTGATCCCGGATGCCGATGACCCAAAGAACTCAAGAGAATCCGAAAACCGCGAACGGAAGCATCCTTGAGTGCCCTATGTCCCTTTCTGAATCAACAAGCTCCTGTCGATTGGCCGCAGATATGAGGCATCGGCGCCGGTGAGTAGTTGGAGTTCCTTTGTCCTTGACTTGCCTATGAACTATTGCACTGCTCCTCTGCTTCTCGAGATCGTGAGTTCATTCGCAACCAATCCCTTGCTGTCGCAGTGGCCAGCCGGGGCGGAAGGTGGTGCGTGTAGTGGAGCAGCTCACTGCTGCCGATGACCCTGACAGGGAACAGTAGGATGAGGGATCTCGGTTAGATTCTAGCACGAGTATGAAGACGAAGGACATACAAAGATGAGGATGACAATGGCGGCTAGGACATGATGATGAAAACTGCCGTGATGATGATGATGATAATGATGATGATGATGACGAGGCGGGTGATTAGTCGCAGTGATGGTGATGATGGTGGTGGTGGCGTTGGTGGTTAATGTTCAATCGTTTCTTACTCCACTTGCCATCGGTGCACAGCCACTTTCCTACGCTTGGTCCCTTTCGACAGGCGTAGTTTGCTCTTCAGCATTTTCTTGTTCCAAATCTACCCTAAACCCGAAACCCCGAAGTCCCTAAGTAAAAGGTTGGCGCCGCTTTGCTTCGTGGGCCAGCTTGGCAGTCCTCGTGGTGCCCTCAGATGTACGGCTGCTCTGGCTGCTCCATCGGATCCTTTTTGGTGCTACCACTCAGTGCTTCTCAACTGTTGCATCGATTGCAGATTTCTCTGTTCTGGGCATCCTATCCATGTTCAGCATGATTGCGATGCTTTCGAGATCAAAGCTGCTACAGTATTGGTGCTCTTGTTGCTTTCCCGCTTCTCTTGCTCTTCCCGTGCCTAGTTGCGTGCTGGCTTGCTGGCGACAAGGATGCCAGCGAACACCTCCGCAACTGCCACCGCGACCTCGACAGTGGTTGCTACGATGACGACGATGATGACGAAAAGGCGACGAACATGACGACGACTACGGTTATTGCTTCTGCCACCGCTACTCTGATACTGCTGCACCCACTGCTCCTGCTGCTCTGACTCGTAGTGGTAATCCACCTCTTACGGCGACTGCTAATGCCAGCACTATATACAAGTACGAGTACAGGTACGCGGCGTAGTAGTAGTAGTAGTAGTAGTAGTAGTAGTAGTAGGAGGAGGAGGAGGAGTAGTAGTAGTAGTAGGCCACTATCACTTTTATGAGTATCTTTGCTGCTACTACTAGTGCTGCTAAGTCACGACTACTACATTACCGCAAGCAGGTTACTAGCACTAACCACCACTACTACTACCACTACCCCACCGCAACTGCTACCTGCTACCTGCTACCTGCTACTGCTAGTCTTCCTGCTCCTACTCCTACTCCTACTCCTACACCTACTCCGACGACGACTACTACTATTACTACTGCTGCTACTACTACTACTACTACTACTGCTACTACTAGTAGTACTACTGCTACTACTATTACTACTGCTACTACTACACTACCACTGCTACCCGCTACTCCAGCTGCGCTCTGCTGTGATTTGCTAGATAGCAGTTGTAGCGGTCGCAGCAGTTGTGGCAGCGGTCACGACTGAGAGTAACATCAAGAGAGCGTGCGCATCCCAAAAAGAGTCTGCGTAACTTTCCCATGCAGTGGGGAGGTTGGTGTCAGCATGGCTGCAAGCACAATAGCCCGCAGTCGCATTAGTCAGGTGCACTACCGAATCTAGTGTGGGCTTCATACTGGTAGTGCCAGTAGCAGTAGCAGTAGTAGTCGTCGCCGTGGTCGTGTTAGTGACAGTTGTTTTTGGGCGATGGTGGTGATGATGATGGTGGTAGCAAAAGCAGTTGCTCCAAATGAATTGAAAGTAGACTGAAGGCCATTTGCACAATGACCAGCCACCGCCGCCCGCGTCATTGACATCACCTCACCCAACCACCAGCTACTACAGAATACTACCAGCAGCAGAAGCAAGAGCAGCAGCAGCAACAGCAGGAGGAGCAGCAAGAGTAAGAAGAACAGCAAGAGCAAGCACAAAAGCAACATCAGCAAGCGTCGCACAGATGGCCAAGCAGCAGCGACTTGCGTAGAGTCTTCATCACCATTGAGCAATTCCACCGCTGATTATTGTTACTTCACTTGCAAGAAGACCGGTAAAACCCCAAATCCCGAGCCCTTAAACCCTGAAGCATTAAACCATCAACCCAGTGACTACTTATATTGGTCAGTGTTGTGCTTTTTGCAGGGACGTGTTCTTTCTGGATGTAGCACGTGGCGAAAGCGGGAGGGGAGCCAAGCACACAGTTGTATGTATGGGGAAGCATTGTGGTAAGGCCCCCTAGATGGCTCCCCGAACCACCCCTCCGCCAGATTTGGCATTTCGACTAACCTTTGGGCAGTTGGAAAAGAGGGCTTAAAAAACAAAAATAAACCATCAACCCTTGTCCGAAACTCCTCAGCCCTTGGCCCCGGAGCCTTGAATCCCACACCCCTCAGACCGTGAACCCATAAATCCTCAAGCTCTAGACCCTCAAGCCCTCGACCCCTAAATCCTTCTACTCCCTAAGCTTTACACATTGAAACCCAAAACTCTAAACCCTGAACCTCAAAAACCCAAAGCAATGAAGCCTGAGGCACAGTCTCTGTCGCTCGGCACTCGGACCTTGGTTTCGAGGGCGACGGCTCCCTGGGCGATGGCGGAACGCTGCCCGGCTGAGCTCAGGGGGATGTGAACATGTATGTGTGTGTATATATATATATATATGTACACACATACAGATATGCGTGTAGGTGCATGTGTATATATATATATAAATATATAAATATATATATATATATATATATATATGTATGTACAAATATAAATATGCATACACATATGTATACATGTATACATGAATATACACATTATATATATATACATATATATATATATATATATATATATATACATAGATAGATGGTGAAGTTTCAGGGGTGGAGACTTCAGAGCTTAGGGTTTGTTTTTGGGGTTTAGGGTTCAGCGCTTGAGCTTTCTGGTTCAGCGTCTAGGCTTTCGGGTTCAGGGTTTGCGTTTCGGGTTCTGGTGGTTTACGCTTTGCATAGGAGGCAAGCAAGGGTAAGAGGGCAGCCTATGTTTCTCAGCTGCTGCCTCCTTCGTCGACTCAGGACTCCGCTGATGATGGCAGCGCACAAGAACGACGCGGAGGACCGGGCCTCGGAGGTTGCCTGCAAGAAGCGGCCTTTGGGGGGGAGGCGGGATGTGACAGTCGAAGCGCGGAGTGTGTGCTGACCAGCCATCAGCTGAGGAATTCGTCCGGAGCTGTACTCATAGTTTCCCGTTCTGTTCAGTGACAGCTTGGGCAAACGCTGAGGAAGTCAAGGCATATGTCAAGAACGGCGCCAACTTGAACGCGCAGGACCATGGTCTAACCCACCCCGATTGACCGTGACAGCATGTGCTGCGTCTGAAAGACCCTGCCGGTTCTTTCAATGTGACCGGTGCACCAGGACTTGTACGGCTGGACAGCTCTGCGATATGCAGTTCGGGCCGACAACATCGAGGATGGGTCGGGGATGGCTGCAGCCAAGAGTCAAGTTGCGACGCCAGCAATGCCAGCAATGCCAGCAGTCGTCCGCACAACGCGCACCGACGTGAACATGCGTGAAAATCTTGTTGTGTGATGACAAGGCCACGCAAGCTCTCATCGAGGGCGGTGCAGACATCAACTTGGGCTCCCAAAGCGGGTGCGTCACACAGGGTCCGCAGTGCCTTCCATGCTCTTTCCTGTGCGACAACATATCCCAGGCGCACGCCGCTGATGTCGGCAGCTTCGAATGGGATCAGTGATATGGTGCCTTGACTGCGGGCTAGCCTCGATGTGAGGGCCGCAAGGGAGTAGGTGAGTAGGATTGAGATGCGAATGGTGGGTGCTGCATCGGCAACAGGGACCTGTGCTCCGAACAGGTCAAGATCCTGCTTGATGCCGGGGCAGACGCCAAGGCAAGGCTTTGTTGCAGCTCTGAGCCCGAGACGGCCGACGGCTGCCCTTTTCTGCCCTTTTCTGCCAGTTGAAGAGCGGCGGCCTCACAGCCTACGACATGTCGCTTCGAGGTGGTGCGACAGGCCCGTAAGTAGCATAGCAGCATGTCGGCATAGCATACCAGCGGCCACTCTCGAAATTGGGGCCCGCCGGTGAATCGGCGATAGACAGACAAAATTCATCAGACCGCGTGGGCAGGCTGCGAGGAATGCCGGAAGCTGCTCTTGGAGGCGTCCAGCTGAGGCAAGCTGAGGCAAGCCCGCCTACAATTTGAAAAACCAGGTTCAATCCGGCAAAGTGTCTAAAGAGTCGATTTTGCCCTTGCTGAACTGGACCGGTAAGTCTTTTAGCTCTGTGCTGACGCCGGGGCCTGGTGAGCTTTCTCACGGAGAGCGCGTTTGAAGTTGCTTTTGAATGGTCGGAGCCTCGGGAAGCCCGTGACAAGAGCCAAGAAGTGCCAATGCGCGACCGATTGCTTGCCAGCATGGCAGCATAGCGGCTGTTTCGCGGACTACGGATTTTGTGGTCGAGCCCAGTTGATCCTAGAGCACAGATGATCCATCAAATGCAGATCAGACCCAGACACAAGTCGCTAGAACACGGGCTTCTGGGCTTCGGCCGCAACAGGCACGAAGCCCTCGTCTCGGCCGTCGGCCAAGGGTTTCACGGTATGTTTCGCAGACTTAGGCGTGGCAAGGATCTGAGAGGTAATGCTGCGACCGCTAGGAAGAGACGCCTGCAGCGTCAGTGGACACAAATGCCAGTTGCGCCAAGTCACAGTCAGGGCCTTCAGGGCCTTCAGGGCCCAGGGCTGAGGGGCTCGTGGACACTACCGCTTTTTGCTGCAAGGTGATGTCTAAACACAGAAAGCCTCTACCCGGCCCACATGCCTGGCAGTCTGGCTCCCACAGAGATCGGGGCCTCCAGCCTCCAACCTCCGGCATGCTCTAGCACAAGGCTGCGCTTGTCTTCTGGGCCAGTGCAAGCCTTGCAAGGGGTGCCTTTGGGCCTGTAGGAGCGCCGAAGCTGCATCTTCAATTGTCATTGGCCGCCTTCCATTCATAACATACTCGGGACCATCCGAGCACGGTATGCCATGTTAGGTGTGGGAACCTGTGGGAACAGTGTTATTTGTATCTTGTGGCAGGGCTCGGATGAACTTCGGGTGGACCGAGTCCCAGACACCGAAGAGGGGACTCTCCCGCCTCTTCTCGAGGAGGCCAGAGTGCCTCGGGTTGACTTCGCCGCATTTCGCACAGCAGGGTTTGGAAACAGCGCCCTCGCTGTACCGAGGAAGCCCAGCCAGGGCCACTCCGGGCGCACGCCGCTTGCCACGTTGGCGGCGCCCTCTCCTTCCTTCTTCGGTGGGAGGAGGTCCCGGATTCAGAGAGCAAGAGCTACGCACACTCGCCCGCTCGAAGCCCTGCAGGAGGCGGACCAGCAGCGTGGAGGACGGCCTGGAGCTGGATGAGATCTCTGATGCCACCCAGCGCGGGCGGCCGCGGCGGCGCAAGAACCTGAGCTGCCTGGGCATCTTCGCCTGCGGAGCCTCCGCTCTGCCTCGATCTGGCTCCGCGGAGGCCTCCCCGGAACAGGCCCAGGCCATGGCGATCACTCCGGCGCCGGCTCCTTGTCGCGGAGCCTGGAGCGGCGCGCTGCCGGACCGGAAGCCGCGGGGGAGTCTGGTGGAGCAGCTGGGCTTCAAGAGCCGGGTGCTCCGGTGCAGCAGTGCGGGGAGCCTTTGTACTACCTCCAGGCGATCCCGCGATGTGTGCATAGTTTAGTGATCTGCCAGTTGGCTGTGTCCTGTGTGGCTTGAGTCGTTGCAGTTTCACAGGGCCGCCTATGAGGATCGTAGACCAGCCGAGACCTTGTCGGAGCACCCTGCTTTACCTACTGTATGCCTTTTGCCAACGTGACCAGGCGGACCATCGCCCGGCGAGAGACAAGGGCAGAGACCTTGGCAACCCAAGCAGACCAGCGCCGCTTGAAGCATTTCATCTTTTCGACGTGATGTTCAGAGGGGGAACCCTAAACGTCCCTACAAACTCCGCAGAGATGAATGCAGATGTAAGCTACTTTCTCCTTCCGGGCTTTCTTTGATGCACTCCCAGAGCCTTGCTTTGGTGCCTTGAAGCTCGGCTTGCGGGTGCGGGCAGAAGCTTGAATAGTTTTGGGCGTTTTCTTGCCCAACGTGGAACATTCTGAGGAAGCAGGCTGATCCCGCTCAACACAGGACTGACTCGACAACGGCTGTATCGGGTCTGTCCAGGTTGGTTTGGGATTATTGAGGCCCATCTGTGCTCATGCTTCTTTATCAAAGAACAGCTGCAGGTGCCGCTAAGCGGCCACACGTGACATTGTTGGCCTTGTGAACCTGAGATCCAAGTGTCGCTGAAGACGCCGTCATGGAGCCGTGGAGCAATCATTGTGCTGTGCAGGAACAGATCTGCGACCACCCTCTAGTGACGCCATCTTGCAGGAGAGCAGTGTGAGAGAGGGAGGCATGCATCGTAACACTGCAAGGGCTGCAAGCCCGGTTCGAGAACTTTCTGAAGGAGCTGGAAAGATGTCGTATGCGGCTGGAAGATGTTCGGATACCTTCGCCCGCCTGGGGCCTACATTGGTGATCGAATCTAGCTGTAGTGTTCTTTTTCACCAAGGGTTGCAGATTTGGGTGAAAGACAATCAATCTGAATTGGCGGCTCTTTCAGCATCCATCACAGCAAAACGTTTGGCTCATGGGCTTTATTTGCCTCAAGTTCGGGATTGTGCTCGGATTTGGGGAAACAGGCAGCCGGGATCACTCTTTGTCTGTCTGGTGCTGAGTAGGGAGTGGGGGAATGGATCCCTATAGCCCCAATGGTAGTCCCCATAACCCATTCCCTCATTCTCTACTCAGAACCAGGGAGTTGTTCACGGCATGGATTCGATCTCAGGCCTGTCACCGGCAAGTGACAGCACCGGATCCGATCTTGTGCGAACCGTATGAGAGCGGGCACTCCACCCACTCAACAGACCTTGTCCGTACTCCATATCGAACCTGTTCTCCAACGCTGCACATTTTCGAAGTTGTGTTGCAAGAAATCAACGTTGGTCCCTGCCGCATCACGCATGGAGCCGGGAGGTCTTTACATTGTACACGAAGGTGAGACCCATAACTTGCACCCACGCCCACTGCCTTTGTGTGGGGGGTGTCTTTCCTTGTCTCGCCCTGGCTGCCCCTCCCAGGCTGCCACACCACTCCAGTGGGGTGCCCAGCATGGTAACATGGTGCGAGTAGAGCAGCTGCCATGAGAAGGCAGAATCTTCCCGCTCTCCGTGACCTGCAGGTCCAGGCCATCCTCATCCATGCCGGTGCTCGCCTGAGTGGAAGCGCTGTTGTTCGGGGCTGTGAATCTTCAGATCGGAGGTGTGTTTTGCAGCTGCTTGAAGATTTGTAGGTATCAAAGTTATGTGCCATCCACGGGCAAAATGCAGCACGATCGTGCTCGGGCACTGAGTTTCGCTGCCCTGCCGTAGGCACGAACTCCGAGCGCCATCCCAACACCGCTCCGAGGCACCTGAAGATGCGCCTTCCCCCGAGCAACTCCCATCGCCCGCGGCGCTGAGGCTTGGTTTGGAGCACGGCTTTTGGCTCCAGGGAAACTTCACACGTTGTTGAACAGCTTTAGGGACAACGGTTTCCGGTTTTTCAATTTCTGTGACCCCCAAGTGTCTGCAGATGTTGTCCGAGCACTACTTGTTGCTTATGCAGAGCTCGTAAATGGTAATGACTAACATTATCGCGACACCCTGCGATCATAACCATTGAAATCCCAAATCCTGAAGTCTGACAACAAGCTGCTCCCAACGCAGGCTCGTCCCCCCCGGATTTCTCCCGCCCCCAAGGATTTCTCCCACCAAAAAAAAACGCAACACGGCGCTGAATAACTAGCAGTACTTTCCCCTCATGGTCCCTATTCATATATTCTAACACAGACTGTGCTATTCAGCCCAAGCCCTAAATCACCCTAACCCCTAAACCCAAACCCAGAATAATGAATAGCCCTAACCCCAAACCCTAAATAACCCTAAACCTGAAACCCAAACCCTGAATAATTAAAACCCTAAGCCCAAACCCTCAATAACCCTCACAAACCCTAACCCTAAACCCTAAATTATCCTGAACCCAAGCCCTGAAGAACCCTCATAAACCCATCTAAACACACTAACCCCGACAGGCTCCGCACGCCCGGTGCATCGCCCTCCGCCACTCTTCCAAGGCCGCGCTCGGAGAAGGCCTGAAGCTCTTTAGGGTTTAGGGTTTGGGATTTAGGAGCTCTTCTGAGCCAATTTCTTACCTTTGGTTAGTAGGGAATGGAAGAATGGTAGTAGTAGTAGTAGTAGTAGTAGTAGCAGTAGTAGTAGTAGTAGTAGTAGTAGTAGTAGTAGTAGTAGTAGTAGTAGTAGTAGTAGTAGTATATAGTAGTAGTAGTAGTAGTAGTAGCAGCAGCAGCAGGAGTAGTAGTAGTAGTAGTAGTAGTAGTAGTAGTCGTGGTAGTAGCAGTAGTGGTAGTTGCGAACGGACTGCGATGCCTTGTCAAGTTCCAAGGTGTCACTATAAGAGCTGTGAGCAAGACCATGTAAAGTGCAAGGGAAGGGGGCACGCTACGCGTCCCTCATCTCTAGGAGCAGGCTTGTGGTAGTGCTACGCACACCGCAATGCCTATCCATCCTTTCAGTATGACCGCCCATGCAACGTTTGGCTCAAGAATGAGCACAAGCTCTAGAAAGCATTGCCCATAGCAAAAGCGCTATAATCTTTGTGATCCTTCGAGTAGACAGAGCTATCCCGTGCACAGACGATCCACCGCCGGCCGTGAGTGTGCAAAAGGAGCGAACGTTGGATCTGCCTGCATAGGAGTGCGTGTGTGGAAGTGGAAGTCACGGTGATCCAGCTTGTAGAAGGCAACCACGCCAACAGTCAATACAGCTCTTTGTGGGGTGAGCGATACAGAACATTACCAGGATCAAATCCCCACGCAGGTTATCAGCCGTACGCGGCTCTGCCTTTCTGCAGCAAAGACTACTTGATCTACTACGACCACAATGAACTCGGGATCAAGCCAAGATACGACAATGACTTTCGGTGCCGATGTGGCAGCGCCAGCCGTTGGTGAGTCAACAGCTGATGACACAGTGGTGCAATCCGTTGATAGCTCCACGGAAGATGACAAAGGTCAATCTTCTGCGCTTGCCA